GATATTAACAATAACGCATGTGCTTATTTGGAAGATTCATGCAGTTGCACGTCTGCCAAATTTTCTCTGGACATTCGCTGAAAAATACGGTAATTCCACGAGGCCGTACTCTGGAACGAACTAGTTAGTATATAGCAGAATTTTCAGGAAGTCGCATGCACGGACATGGAAGACTGCATATGTCAAATCAGGGAGTCCGACAGTAAATCAGGAAGTATATGTGACTCCGGACTCGCGTTAATGTCGCACCCTGCTGTACTGTATACATCATGAAAACTCTGTGAGCTTCATGGCTATATCTTTTCTGTTTTTGTCTAATTCAAATCTTGAAATAACTCTCGATCTAGACCATGAACACAATTGTACATGTATTTAGGCAACTATCTTTTTCTTTCATTCGAAAATGGTGCATAATGAACATGACACTTAATTTCTGCGTAACTGACAAGACAGTTTGTCCACTTTGTTCCAAGCTATCATACTTTCTTCTTCTGAAGGAATTATGCCTTCATGTATATTAAAAAAACAGGAGTCTGATTCATATGACATGCAATTCAAGTAAATTTATTACCTCGTGTAGTGCTTATTAACCTTAGATATAGCACTATACTACGACATGATTGGCTAATTTATACTCGTAAAATAGCACGTCAAAGAAGTATACCTAAAAAAAAATTGTTAATTGTGTTTTTAGTGAGCCTCAGCATCATTGTTATGATGAAAGTCAGTATGAGTTAAAATATGAAAATTTAGACTTTATTTAAAAGCAATCTACATGAAACTAGGCAATTAACATTTTTAGCTCACGCTGTCACTTAGTCAAGCTGAGCTATTGCCATGGGTCGTCGCCTGTCGTATGTCCGCCCGTCCGTCCGTCCGTCCGTCAACATTTCGCTACGGTCCACGATAACTCAGGAACCGTTTGACCCACATGTTTGAAATTGGGTATAGTTGTTACTGTTATGCTATTTTGAAGCACGCTGAAAGTCCTATTTTGAAGCACGCTAGTCGACGTACTTTCGGGCCACGGCAATTTTTTGGCAAAAATGGGAATTGCCATTAGTCAGTTCAGGCTCAACGGATTTTGCTCATTTTTGGTATGTGAATCATGACCCCTGCTAGGGGTTTTGATATTTAAAAAAATGCAAATTAGGTAGGGTTTGGCAATTATATAGCATATTATATAGACACAAACAGTCTGTGGTGTCACACTCGTCTGGTTCGTTTTACAAGATTTCATTGAAAATATCTTTAATGAAAAATTGGTATTTCCTCTCCACCCTGCCGATAAAACGTTTATATTAGAGTAAAGTTGTACAAAACATGTCGGAACGCAGCATAACCTATTTATTTCAAACGCCATCGCTACAAAGCGGGTATAGCGCCATCTACGGTCACAAATTGTGATTCATTTTGGTTTATATAAATTATTATTGCGATATACAGATGGCAATCGTTTCTATAATGTACGTCGATGGTTGCTCAATTAAAACTGACTTCTTCTTACTCACTCATTTGTGTCCTTTTTTGTGGTGAGCTACAGTGTCATTGACACTTTCATTACACTAAGTGTCGAATACAATTGGCAAATGATTTAGCTGTTCACTAAATTACGATCGAATAATGAAACAATCCAATTACCGCATCATTTCATAAAATATTTTTGTCCACAATCTTTTCCCATATCTATGACTTGCTTATGCCTTACTAAGCACATACATGATAAAAAAAACAGTGGCAATAGATTTTCATTGGTGGCTAAAAGATAACTTAGGTGGCTCAAGTCTTCGCTCAATCATTCAAAAATGCAGAGGGAGGCCTTGATCCTGGGCGGGCTAGGGTGTTGGGTGCCCCTACTCTTGTGTTGGCTCGAATTCACATGCGGATATTGTGCAACCTGAATTCATCTAGCATGTGAATTGTGCAATTGTAGATTATTGGGTTCAAAATTATATAATATCTGTGTATTATTAGCTCATCTGACATAGTCAGATGCAGCTTGTAGAATCGCATGAGCGTGCGTCCGTGAGTGCGTCTGTGAGTCCGTCCGTGCGGTCAACAGTTGGGCACAAATCTTAACCGCTCGACGTACGGTCACGATTTTTGGGACGTCGGGGGTGATCGTGAAAAGGACTCGGGATGACCAATTTGGGGGGCAAGGGTCAAAGGTCAAGATG